TCGAGCCGATGCTCAGCCTGCAGAACGGCCAGGGCGCCCCCCTTCTCACTGACGTCCGCAGCAACTGCACCGACGTGACGGTGCAATTCACCGTCGAGATGACGGCGGAAAATCTGCAGAAGGTGGCCGCCGGCATACACAGTGCCTTCAAGCTGCNTTCTTCCCGGTGCGAATGAAGCTGTACGAGGAGCGAAAGCGCTACTACGAGGGACTGCTGCAGGCGGAGGTGCTCTTCCTCGACAACCAGGTGCGCTTCATCAGGGAGATGAACGGCGGCATCATCAAGATGGAGAAGGTGAAGGAGGCGACGCTGACGAGGCAGCTGATTGAACGCAACTACGACAGCGACCCGGTGAAGGCGTGGAAGAGGCAGTACGCGCCGGAGGACGAGACGAAGAAGAAGAAGGATGGAGAGGAGAATGATGCCGAAGAGGAAGACTCCGCCGAAAAGGAGGAGGAGAAGGAGGAGGGTAACGAGGAGGAGGAGAAGAAGGTGGGTGTCTGTGACTTCAACTACCTCCTCGACCTGCCGATGCGCCGCATGTTGCTGGAGCACGCCGAGCAGCTGATCAAGACGCGCGACGACAAGCGCGCCGAGCTGACCAAACTGCAGCAGACCACACCGGCGCAGCACTGGGAAGCCGACATAGACGACTTTCTTGCCACACTCGACGAAGTGGAAAAGAAGAAGGGCGGCGACGACGATGATGATGCTCCGAAACTGCAAACGGCGGCGGCCGCCGGCGTTCCACCAGCTCGGGGCGAACGAGTCCAGCCGAGTATTGCTGCTACGAGCGCGGCTGCCGGCTGGATAACAGCAGCTAAGCAGGGTGAACAAATGTGCACCTACTCTAGACGACAGACTCTGCAGACCGATGCGGCGGAGGCGGTGGCCACCTGTGTTGCCAGCATACAGACAGCAATCAGCACTTCTAACGATAACAACAAAACGACCAACACCAGCCAGCAAAACAACGACAGCGACAACGATGATCCCCTTGACTGGAGCTCAGATCACCACGGCGACAACTACCACCATCAGTACGTAGAGAACCGGGCGACTGTTGAATCGGCTGGAACGGAAGAGCACCTCGTTGATGATGATGAGTTGCAGCAGAAGGAGGAGTTGGCAGAGGTGGCAGAGAAGAATGATGAGGTCACCTCGAACAACTTGGACGAGGAGGAGGAGGAGGATGCCGGGGAACGAGAAGAAGAGGATGCCGAAGATGAAGCGAGTGAGGCAGGGAGGGCCAACGAAGAACAAGAGACGGAATGGAATGCCACTGAAGTTGATGAGGATGGTCATTCAGCAGTCAGTGGTGAGTGGTTTGAGTGCATTTACTTTTATTCTGTTGACTAACGCCTTTTCATTCTGCAGAATCTCAGCAAAACACCGAACCAGTGGTCAACCGTAGTTTGAGCAGTGCAACTGGTGAACAACCGCTGAATGGTCTTCAAAGACGAGCTAAGAAAAGCCACAATTGTCAGCAGTGCGACAAAAGTTTTCCATTTGCATCTCATCTCAATCGACACCAGCTTGTTCACACTGGCATACAAGCTTACAAGTGCCCAACATGCTCCAAATCATTTGGGCAGAAGGGTAATCTCAAGCTGCACCAGCTGACTCACACTAGAATTAAAGCCCACAAGTGCCCAACATGCCCTAAATCATTTGCGCTGAAGGGTGATCTCAAGAAACACCAGCTTGTCCACACTGGCATTAAAGCGCACAAGTGCACGATTTGCTCCAAATCATTTGGGAAGAAGGGTAATCTCAAGCTGCACCAGCTGACTCACAGCGACTTTCGGCCATTTCAGTGCTCCATTTGTGAGAAAATGTTTAAAATGAAACAGCATCTCAAAAATCATCTTCAAAGAGTGCATCAATAGTAAGACTACTTTAATTGCCGTCTTTATTCAGCAGTCTCTCTTTCCGTTCCCTTTCTTTTGTCGTCATTCAAAGGTTTAATTAAAAATAAAAAACAATTTGGTCACAAACTTCTTGATCTGTTGTGCTATTGAAAACTGTGACACTGTTTGTCTCTCCATCAGCGAATTGCCCCTAAGCATACGCTCGTAACCGGTCTAGCTCTATTGCCCTGGGGCCCTGGGGAGCACTGTGGGCAGAGCAGAGACAGAGACAGAGTGCTCGCTCAGTAGTGCTTGCTTTTGTTGTCAGTCGCTCTCCTCGCATTCACCTGTGGAATCCAACTTTATTTTTACCATTTAAAGGAAAATGTCTGAAACTGAGAAGCTGTCTGAAACTTTTGATATGTACGACCAGTTTGATTGTGATGTCGAAGAAGGGGCCAAGATTACATGCTTTGTGGAAGGGCGCAGGGAAGCCAACATTTTTCTCTCTGCAGTGCGGCCCTATCGATCAGTCTAAAAGAAACACATTTGACATTTGCGTTGTTGCTGCTGAGAAGCGCGCAACAAAAAGAAGGTAAAAAGTGAAAAATCAAATCAAATCAAATCAAACAAAAGATGCGGCGGCGGCGGCGGCCTTGCAACCAAACAAACAGTAAAAGCCAGCCCATCCATCAGCCCTTGGGCGTGCCGTACTTGCTGAAGATGAGCTGGTCGTTGATCTCGTAGTAGGTGAGCTCGGGGCCGATGATCACCCGACGACCGAGGGTGGCTCGCTTGCCGAAGGCGATCTGCACCGTCAGAACGAGGAGCACCAGAAGAATGACCGGCTCGGCGACGTGCACAAAGATCCGGTCCGGGTTGGCCAGGTGACAGTCGACCAGCAGCCAGGTGAGCAGACTGCCCTCCGATTTGATGCTGACGCGGCCCGCCTTCGAGGGGCTCTTCGCGTCGTCCATCACGTCGTAGACGTACTTGAAGGTGATGTTACTCGCCCAATCCACCAGGTACATGTGCCCGTCGTGGATGTAGCCGTTCTTGGCGAAGATCAACTCCTTGGCGGTGGTGATCTGCCGGAAGCCGTCGATCGGGTCGGCGGTGGGCGCGAAGAGCCACTGGTTGTCGGTGAGGGGCGACTGCTCAAAGACGAAGACGGGGGTGATGGTGAAGTTGACGCCCGGCGCCACGGAATAGTGGCTGATGTTGAAGCGGTGCGCCGAGTCCACCTCGATGAAGTAGAAGAAGTTGGCGCCGACGATGAAGCGGTTGGCGTTCCAGCTCTCATTAGTGGCCGCCTCGTGGTAGGCGACGTCGGCGAGGCGGGCGGAGAAGTCGTAGTCGAAGGTGATCGGCTTCGGCTGGAAGCCCCGGCGGCGGTTGTGCAGGACGAAGACGTCGCGCATTCGCTCGCCAAAAGTCAGCTGCTGGTGGACGTACTGGTTCTCGGAGTTGGTGAACTTCATGTCGGTCTGTCAAGAGGAGAAGTGGGAGTGGTTTTTTGACAAATCGAAGTTGATGATGACGAACACGATCACGGCATTTGTGAAGGGAGCCAAATAGAAGCCGAAAGTAAACAAAGAACTTAGAGATCAAGACTTCAACCGATCATCCCACTTACCATGGCGACGCCCAGCACCAGCACCTCCTCCTCGTCGTCGATCTCGATGCCCACCGAGGTGAAGACCTGGCTGGTGATCAGCGGCGTACTGTAGAGCATGTTGCTCAGCTGCGTGTTGAAGTCGGTGAAGAGCGTCTGGCGGGTGAGCTTGAAGGGCGGCGGCCCCTCCAGGCTGACGTTGAAGATGGT